AAAAATCAAACCAGACACTCTGAATACTTTTTTTTTTTTAAATCAATTAATGTATTGTAGTTTTAGTTCAAAGGACAAAATGAAAAAATTAAGTATTTTGACCTACAGCATGTTGCACTGAATTGGTTTGTGGGTTGGTTGGTATTTTTGTCTTTGTCATTGGCGGGTTTGAGAGGAAGAAAGGAACTACCCACACAATTGGAGCGCGCAGGATTTTCAGCAATTCTCCACCACAGAGAACAATTCCCCTGGCAAGGCGCAGGTCTGAGGGCTCTCGGTGTGCCAGCACCCACCTTGTAGAGGCCGAAGCAGGGGTCGCTCCAGTCGGGCTGAGCTGCCGTGCTGGGCTGTCCCTCCAGCTCCAGGGCAGCCTCCCCGTTGTGGGAGCTCTTGTCGGACTCGCTGGGGCCGGAGCCGCAGCCGGAGTCGGTGTCCGAGAGCTCCGAGTCCTTCTCCTTGCTCCCAGCAGGCAGCACGGCTGGGCTTTGTCTGACCAGCAGCTGAACGATGTCGTTCAGCCCCACGCTGTAATCGAACAGGGAGTGACCATCTTCCATCTGCAGGGAAAGCACCAAGCTGCCCGGTCATTCATCGCCTGCGCCCGCGCCTCCCATGGCGCTCGGAGCGCCTCTGCCCGCCAACATCCACCACGTGGCTTCAGAACCTTTATCAGCACATCTGGGCCCTTCTCCTCTCTTAGTCCTGCTATTTAAATGCTTTTTTTTTCAGTCATCTCACAATCTGAAGGAGCAAGGCTTCTTCCATGCTGCTCCGGACTCACTACCCAGCCTCTAGATCTGGAAAAGTTTGCAGCACATTCCCTAGAAACGTCCCCCCACACTCCCGTCAGGATTGAAAGATAATTCCACGTTACCTACAGAGTCAAAGGGAAATTATTTCTTCAATCCAGACACATCCCAAATGCTAAAGCAGATTGTCTGTATATTTTAATTGTGCGTGATCCAGATTATTGCTACACCATCTCCATTAATCGTAGCATTAAGTAGAAGCCAGAGTTGATGACACGCTCTTCTCCCAGCAAACACGCATTTTTTCCATTGAAAGTAAAATCAAAAAAGATTCAATTCAACTTGAAACTACCCGATCGCTCTTCAGCGTAGCCAGACGTGTCCCAATTTCACACTCTCTCTAATTCTAAAGAGTTTATCTGGCAAGTCTGGCAGGGTTTGTAGTCAAATCAAGACCTTGCCCCTGCAAAAAGAGATGTGCAGAGGAAGAAAGAGGTCCCTCAATAACCTCTCAAGAGCTCTAAGGAGCACAACCATTTTAGAGTTAACATGTAATGCTGGAGCCCACGGAGCAGTCAGAAGTTCAGACAAGCTTCCCCACATATTTAAGGTCTGACTAAGAAATTATACAGGAAATGATCATCCCTTTCCAGCCTAAACCACCAGAAAAAGCAATCCCTGGAGCTTTGTTCTCTATCAGGGGGAAGCAGGGCAAAACCACAAAAATTTACACTTCACAGGAATCACTATGATAATTCAATTCTGATTTATGGCATCAAATGGCTATGGAACAATCCCTGGAAATCTGACTGCACAGGAAGAGGTCTGAGCGTTTTGCTGGTTTAGAGATGAAAACTCCTCGAGGTGCATAAGAACACGCCAGAAATTGGTTGTTTCTTCTCAGCCAGGATACAGTGTCACAAACATGGGAACAACAGCAGCAAGAAGACACCAGTGACAACAGGTGCAAAGTGAAATGGAAGAGCACAGGAACAGGACAGGAAACCACAGGAGTTCAAAGCAGAGCTGGAAAGAAGAGCCCGGGACTGAGGACAAACCTTGAACAAAGGAGGCAGGTTTTAACTAACAGCTAATTTTCTAACCCCACTGAAAAATGTTAGAAAGAAATGGAACATTTGCAGGGATTCCAACATCCAGACAAAGCACAATGGGAACAAGGCCTTAGAGAGACTGGGTCACGTTCCTGCCTGAACTAAGGAGCACTGGAACTGCAGGAGGAGGGGTTCCCTTTGTAGGAACCCCTTTTCACCTCTGAAAATCTCTTTAACCCCAGGTGCCTGCACAGACTTCAGGGAAAGGCTGACAGGTGGCACCTGCCCTGAACCAACCCCCCCTTACCACTCGATTTACAACAAAATGGGTCATTAATGTATCCAAGTCTACAACAACCCAACAGAAAGGTGGGTTACACCATCCTACTGGCCTCTTTTTATGCTAGAGCTGGTACCTGAGCTTAGATTGAGGCTAGTCCAGGTGTATTTCCATGTTCTACAGCCACACCTGCTAATTACAGAGTACAGTTAGCTCAAGACTGCCTAAAACAGAAAGAAAAGCAGCTAGAAAAAATTGTCCATCTGCAGCCAACTCAGCATCCCACTGTTTTTCCTGAAATTAATTCTGTGATCAATCAAATACCAGATCGGGAGTTTCTCTATCATGAAAGCTTGCGAGCATAGGACTAGGCAGAATATAGCAATTGTATTTTAAAATGGTTTTGATTGACTTCAGTGCTAATTTAGTTAAATTATTAACTCACAGGGAATACAACAGTCGTACAACAGCAATTGTAAACGTATTATTGAGAACATAATACAGCACTGAGCCACTCGAGCGCCCTGTACCTAGTGAGAATTTGATATCAGAGCTGAAGAACTTCAAAATTATGAGTTGCTTTTTCCAATTTACAAAGAAAAATGAGATCTTTACGCCTTTCAGAGCGGTGAAACTCGCAAGGCTCAAAACCATTAAGCACTTTAAAGACCATAAAATCACTGGTAATTTCCAGACGCTTCATAATGAAGATGTCAAGGCGGACGAGCAACACATGAGGTGGAAAACAGCAAAGAAAAGTAAGAATAAAGGTTACTCGGCAGCTGGCACCTCTCCTCGCAAACCCACGGACGGAGCAGCGCGGGAGGGAGCCGGGGATCACTAGATGGCAGCAAACCCCCTCATTTCCACGCCGTTAAAAATAAATAAATTAAAACATCCGTCGGGGCCGGCTGGCGGTGTCCGGGCACCGCTCTGCTGCCGCTGCGAGGCTGTCAATCCCCCCCGCCGCGCCGGTACCTGCTTGCCGCGGTAGAAGAGCCGCTGCCGGTGCGGTTCCACGCCGAACACCTCGTGTATCCGCAGGCGCAGCCCCTCCACTTTGGTGAGCTTGGAGAGGGAGTCCACGCGGTGCGTCTGGCTGCCGTCCATGGTGCGCACCTGGATCCACATGGCGCCGGCGCTGCCCCGGGAATGGGACCGCGCTCAGGCGGCGGCACCGGCGGGGCGGGCCCGCCGCGCGCGGCCGCGCCCCCTCACGCGCCCGCCGCACGCCATTGGCCGCCGGCCCGGCCGGCTCGGCCGCTGATTGGCTGAGCGGGCTTGGCCCCGCCCCCACCACGCGGGAGCCTAACGGCTCCGCTCGCGCCGGGCCGCATCTCGCGCCACAATTGAAACCCGCCCGCCGCGCCCACGGGGAAAGTCTCGCGCGATTATGCAAATTAAGAATGCATAAATAGGGAGGGGGGGAAGCCTGTGGTCTTAAAGGGGCCGCCACCGGCCCCCGCCCGCGCTCCCGGCGCACCGCGGCCCCTCCGCCGCACACCCGCCCCGGCACAGGAGGGGACCCGCGGGGCGTCAGCGACCCCCGCCGCGCCCGGACCCGCCCCAGCCCGGCCGCGTCATCCCCGCGCACCCCCCGCGGCGATGCCACTCCCCGGGCCCGCAGGGCACCGGTGCCGCCGGCACCGCCCCTGACGGCCACACCCCCTCCCGCGGGCCCGTTCAGGGGCGGGGGTCGGTCCCGCTGTCGCAGCCCCGAGCGACGCGTCCCCTCCGGGGAACCCGACCCAGCTGTCACCGCCCGGGCACCGCGGAGCGCTCCCACCGCTTCTCGCAGCGCCCGGCAGGACGAGGAAAGCCCCGCGCCCCTCGCTGTCCTCCCGCTCCCGGTGCCACCCGGCGGTGCCATGGCTGGGGCATCCCGGCGGACTCACCGGGGTGCGGTGCCGGGCTCGGCGGGTCCCGGCGGACTCACCGGGGTGTAATGGAAGGGTTGGGGGGGGGGGTTCCGGCGGACTCACCGGGTGCGGTGCTGGGGCTGGGGGTTCCCGGCGGACTCACCGGGGCGCGGTGCTGGAGCCGGTGCCGCGCGCGCTTTCCGCGGGCTTTGGAGTTTGGCGCGGAAAAGCCCCGCGCGCGCCCCGCGCGCGCCCATTGGCCGCCGCTGGCGGGAACGCGCGGGCGGGGCGGGGCCGCCGCCGCCTCCCGGGGCCGGGGGGGGCCCTGGGGGGGGGAAACGGGACCGGGAAAACACCCAAAGCACCCCCTGGGACCGGGGGCGACAACGGAGATCCAGTGCCCCCGCTCCGCTGCGATGCTGGGGGCCAAACCCCCCGGAATCGCCAAGGGCTCCATCACCCCTGAACCCCCGGGGCCGCGGGCACGGGACCGGTTATTGTCCGAAAAACTGGTGAACCCAGCGGCAGCGGAGACTCCAATGAGGCCCCTATGAGAGCCACCCTCCCCGAGGTGTCCTGTTCCCCAGGGGGGCTCCAGGAGGGTTCCTGTCCCCCTGGGGGGCTGCAGGCCCTACGCTGATGCGAATAAACCGAATAATCCGAATGATGCGAATAAACCGAATAATCCGAATAACCGAATGTGAATAAGCAGAGCAGTCCGAATAAACCAAATAATCCGCAAAAGGGCTCTAACTCCCCGGGCCGTTAGCTCCAGGGGGACTGGTGCAAGGCCCCACTGGTGACAACGTGGCCCGGGTGACATGGCAGGGCCGTGGCGTGGCCGCGTGAGCCGACAGAACGGGCAGATCCAGCAGGATGTTTATCCCCAAAACCACCGATGCTACGAGGAGATTAAAAATGATCATATTTGCTTAAAACAACCGTTGGATGGGGGGAAAGCGTGGCCAAGAGGCCCCTGAGAGAAGCTTGCTGGGAGAGAAAGATGAAAGGCCAAGGATTGGCGTTTGCGGCGCAGAGAGGCCGGGCTGGGGCCGCGGGGATGGCGCGGCTCGGGCCGGAACAGCCGCGCCGAGGCTGCGCCCGCCCGGCCCCGCGGACAAAGGAACACGAGGCCACGGCAGAGCCCGGCAAACCCCGTTTCCCGTGCTCCCCTCCCCGCCCCCACGGCCTCCCCTCGGCACTAGAACACAGAAAGCAGCGGGATGTGGGGACGCGGTGCCCTCCCGGCCCGGCGTGGCGGCTGGGCAGCGCCTGTGCCGCGTCCCGCTCCGTTCCTGGACCCGCCATGCACCCCACGGATGAGCCCACAGGCTGGCACAAGGCCTGGATGGGCTCGCTGCCAGGGGGTTGGGGGGTTTCAGGGCACTGAGGCAGCCTGCAGCGGCCAGGCTTCATTTCCTGCCAGGGCTGAAGGCTCTGCCTTGACACAAAGTCATTTCTTGCCCTTGTAGATGTGCTGGAGGATTAACCTGACGCCATCGCAGCACTTCCTGCAGCCTGAGCGGGTTCTTGGATATTGGGAAGGAATTCCTGCCAGAGCTTCACCACCCCGGACCCAGCTGGTCCCACAGCAGTGACAGACAGGTCCCAGCCCCTCCGTTTCTGTGCTGGCAGGATGTTTTGTGGAACGGGATATCCCTCTGGCCATTCCTGGCCATGCTCTCCCCCAGCTCCTTGTACCCCTGCTCACCAGCAGAGCCTGGGAAACTGAAAAGTCCTTGATTTGGATTAAGCACAACTCAGCCACAACCACAACATTGGTTGTTATCAACATTATTCCCGTGCTAAATCAAAAACACAGCTCTGGATCAGCTACTGGGAAGAAAATTAACACTATCCTAGCCAAAACCAGGTCACAGGCACTGCCATTTATGCTTTTATGTGCATAAATACCTATTCCTTGCAGCGCTGCTCCCAAGGACAGGTGATGACTGAGGCCTGTCACAGCACAGTGAGAAACCTGTCCAGGTGAGGCAGTGGGGCTGCAGCTCAGGGGGAGCAGTGCAGGGCTGTTCCAGCCCCACGTGCTGTGGGGTGATCCAGAGTCATGCTGCACCAGGAATTCTCCAGGTTCCGTGTTCCCCTCCCTCCATGCAAAGCTCTGAACAAGCAGCAGTTTCCAGGGGCAAAGCTGGGCAAAACCCAGGGCTGGGGAGTGCAAAGGAGGCCTGTGGCTCTGGGGAGGCAGGACCTGGGGTCTCAGCCACAGCTGAAGATGGAGGGGACACATTTAGCAGGCCCAGGGGACATCCCGTGTCCCATCCACCAAAACCCAGCAGCATCACACTACCCCAGCTCACCTCTACCTCAGGCAAGAGAGCAGCAGCAGAGGGAGGAGCAGCCAGGCACGTAGAAAACCATCCTGCAGCCTGAAAAAGCAGTGGAAAGGTGAACTGGAATACTGGGAGAGCAGCCAGGAACCATCAGGCTGTTCCCTGCTGTGGGAGCAATGTGTTTGGAAGGGGAGCAGGAACCTGCCAGCACCTTCTGGGATGTCCTGCTGGGAGGGGAGCAGGGCCTGGAGAGGGAACAGGGGCTGGGGAGCCCAGGTGAGCCGCTGGAAGGGGAGCAGGAGCCCAGGTGAGCTGCTGGAAGGGGAGCAGGAGCCCAGGTGAGCTGCTGGACGGGGAGCAGGAGCCCAGGTGAGCTGCTGGGAGGGGAGCAGGAGCCCAGGTGAGCTGCTGGACGGGGAGCAGGAGCCCAGGTGAGCTGCTGGGAGGGGAGCAGGAGCCCAGGTGAGCTGCTGGAAGGGGAGCAGGAGCCCAGGTGAGCTGCTGGGAGGGGAGCAGGAGCCCAGGTGAGCTGCTGGATGGGGAATAGGAGCCCAGGTGAGCTGCTGGAAGGGGAGCAGGAGTGGCTCACCTCGAGGTGAGCTGAGCAGGCACAGGAGACAGGAGGCTCCTGCTGGGCTGATGCACAGGAAAGCAGCAGAGACCTGCAGCAGGTCCTGACCCAGGAGAGTGCTCTGAAGGCCTGGGGGAACCAGGAAGGTTGGTGGGCTTTGTACAGCAGAGAATGACAACGCCACAGAGCTGTCCCCTCTGTGGGCCCTGCAGAGCCCTGGAAGCCCAAGGGCTGTGCTTACCTGAGGAACAGAACCAAAGCTCCTCATGCCCCAGCCCTGAATCATCATTCTCATCACTCCTCGTGCTTGCCCCAGGGGAGGTGACACGGGGAAGGTGACTGTGGCATGGTGGCAGATTACTCATGGACTCAGTGCCCTGGGAGAGCAGCAGGATGATTTCCGCTGCAGCAGCTGAACCTTTGCAGTGGGAACTCCGGCGTCACGTGTGGCCTCTGGGCCCCAAAGGGACAATGCTGAGCTGTGACACACCACAGAGCAGGGAAAGGAATGGCTCCCAGCACAGGGGCTGACCCTCCAGATCCCCCACACACCTGCAGGTTTGCAATCCACAGAAATCCCACCAGGGTGGGACAAGTGAGAAGCTCGAGGCTGAGGCTTCATCCCCAGGCAGAGCCAGGAGGAGGCTGAAGGAGCCAGGAGGAAGCTGAAGGAGCCAGGAGGAGGCTGGAGGAGCAGGGATGAAGGAACCAGGAGGAAGCTGAAGGAGCCAGGAGGAGGCTGAAGGAGCAGGGATGAAGGAACCAGGAGGAAGCTGAAGGAGCCAGGAGGAGGCTGGAGGAGCAGGGCTGAAGGACAGGAGCTCCTGGCTCCCACAGGTGCAGCAGGTTGGGTTCACACCTGAAGGTCTGGATGCTGCAGCTTTGCTCAGGGCTCCTGTGCTCCAACCAACACAGCTCCTCTCCCTTCCCCAAACGTGTTTCTCCACTTCCTCCCACGCCCTTCCCACCCCACCAAACCTCTTGCGATGATTTTATCTCGGATTTAAATCTGTCTCTTTCATACAGCACCAAGGGTCACAGAAACAGTTGTGCAAACCTTTGCTCTGCCACTGCAATCCCCCAAATCCAGTGTCCTGGCCCTGCAGGCAGTTCTGCCACCCAGTAGGAAATCCCAGCCCTGACATTTTACCCTAATATCAAAGGCACACATTAGATATTAAACACTGCCTGGTTAATTTTAATTGCTGGTTCTCAGTTCTCACATTCCCCTGTGCCCCACCACAGCCACATGAAGGTGCAGCATGCAGACAGTGCTGTTTCACTCACTTAGGGGGTGAAATAGAACCTGGCCCATGGGACTTTCACCATCCCCACCACAACTGACCCACTGGGACACTTCACACCCATGAACCACCTGGCAGCTGGATCACTGACATTATCTGAGGATGCAGCACTGCTCATGGCAGGCCAACACTCCAAAATACACAGCAACACTACAAAATACTCATTTCTTGACTCCCTGTTCCTGTAATAAAACCTTCATTTCATCAATTCTTCACAGGACAGAGAAGAATAATTTTTATTTCCCTTACAAACATCACAGTTGTTAAAAGCTGGCTTCAGCTTTAGTACAAGATATCAAACACTTCAGAACTGCAACAAGAACTTAAGGTCCTTCCCACGCAGACCATTCTGGATCCTGTGACTCTGTGACAGGCTCCCAGGTGATGGTGGAATATGGAGTTTATATCACACAGACAAATGCACAAGGACTGTTTCCAGCAGTGCAGGTGATCAAACTGGAGGCAAAAGCCACAATTTGTAGCTGGAGAGGCTCAGAGTGGACATTGGGAGTAGCTTTTCTATTAATGCAACATCCAGACCCAATGGGTCCAGCAGCCAGAGAGGCTGTGGGAGATCTCCATCCCTGGGAGGTTTCCAGACCCAGCCAGGTTCCAGCTCTCCAGGAGCTCCAGAGGTTTTTCCAGCCAGCAGCCTCAGGATGAGGATTCCTTCCAGCCCCAAAGCTGAGGAGTGACAATTGTCTACATTTTTGTCAGCTTAACAGCACATTTTTCAAAAACCACTGGCACCCCCTCTGCCTGAGTGGCAATACAGAAACAGAATCAAGGTCTCCTGCATCCAGAGGCCCAAAACAAGGTGACTCAATCACTGTAATAGTGTTAGAAGACTTCAGATAATTTTTACCTGTGCCTCAGTTTCCTCCCCCACTGATCTTGAAAACAGATAACAGGAAGCTTCATTGATCAGGAAGCTTAATTGATGTTTTCAAACCAGTTTTTCAGAGCTGAAGATGAAAAGGCACAAATAGAAAAAGCATTAATTGGAGTTTTCAGTATTTGTTATAGCTGTTAAAAAGCCCTGAGCTCCCTGGAGTCCCGCCCTGCTGGGTCCTCTGCAAGGATAAAAACATAAATCAACTCCTATCCTGAAAATCCCAGCAAACAGGAGAAGCAGAAGGTTTTTTCATCAGGTGTCTGCTGGGGCCTGGCACGGGCTGAGGTGGGAGAGAATTTCTGACTCCTCAGGGAGCCACAGCAGCCCCGTGTGGGGAGGGGGAGCTGTGCCAAGAAAACATCGGGATGATGATGATGATGATGATGGTTCACACCACAAACACCATGTTCTGCTTCCCTGGCACTTGGTGACAACATCTGTGACCTCCTGCAAGGAGCAGCCCCAGGACAGCCCCTGTTCCCCTCAGCTGGGGGACAGACAGGGGCTCAGCTCTGTCTGTCCCCAGGCAGCTCCAGTGCTTGAGCAGCTCTTTGCAGAACAGCTCCCAGGCACGGGGGGATTGTTGGGGTGCCTGTGCAGGGCCAGGGGATCCCTGTGGACCCCTCCTAACTCAAGGTATTCCACGATCCCGAGGCCATGGGACACCCTTGGACAGATGCCCTGCACACCCTGCTAGGTCTGTCCCTTCCGGGGGCACAAGGAGCAGCTGCCAACACCCCCAAAGCCCCGAGGGCACCTCAGCCCCTCACCTGCAGCCCCACCCCGCTGAGCTCCCCATTGGCCAGGTTGGCTCCTGGCTCCATCAGCCCCGCACTGCCAATCACCCTGCCCGGTATTTAACTGGGGCCCGCCCAGTGCTCCCAGTCTCACCAGTGCCGGCGAGCAGGAGGCAGGTAAGGCTGGGCTGGGGGAGGTGGGTGAGCTGGGGGGGCTCCCCGGGGCTGGCCCTGCTCTGCCGGGGGCTCTGCAGGGCAGAGGATGGGTGGGCACAGGTGATGCAGAGCTGTGGGTGCCACCGGGCACTTCCAGCAGCCTGGCGGAGCAGGAGCTGGGTGCTGTGGCTCTGCTTTTTCTCTCTGCGTGGGGCAGGGGGGGCTTTGCTTTCTGAGGCCAAAAGTGCCATTTTCTGGTGTTGCGATGTGTCTGCCTTGGGTAATAACTGAGAGGCTTGAGGGTGGAACTAGGTGATCTTTAAGGTCTTTCCCTTTAGGGAATGGTTTGGGATCTAAACCCTTCCCTAAAGGCTTCTTCTCAGCTTTAAGATGACTCTTTGGTAACTCCATGATCTCTGACCTGTGACTGAGCAGTTTGGGCTTTAAAAGCTTTTTATCTGCTCCTTGTTTGCTGAGGGTCCCAGCTGGGGGGTCCACAGGAGGTGACTCCCACCAGTCACATGCACAGCCCAGCGTTGTGTTTGGGATGGTGGGGACAAGGTGGATGCTCCAGGGGCAGGTGACACCCTGGGGACAGGTGGGGCAGGTGACCAGCTGGGCATTCCCTTCCTGTGACAGTGCTGCCAGCCCTGCCTGGGGCTGTTCCTCGTGATCCCTTGGTGGAGGCACCAGAACTGAGTGACGAGAGAGCTCCTGCTCAGGAGCACCCTGTCCCTGCAGGGCTCTGCCAGCTCCCACGGGGAGCTTTGGCAAACTGGATTAGTGTTTCTCAAGACTAACAAGGCTTTAAATGTGGTCATGACTACCCTGAGCTGTGGATGGCTGGGAAAGATTTCAGCTTCTGAAGCTGGTTCTGCTGAAAATTCCAGATGGAAATCTGCTGAGCTGCTTGCTGTGCAAGTTACAGCTTCCAGATGAAACCAAGAGCTCTGTCCTCATGGAAAGATTGGGAAGTACTGAGAAGCTGTTTCTCAGTAAAACTTCCTCTACTCTTTTCTAAAATACCTCTGTTCCAAGCAGTTGCTGGCCCCGTGGTGGCCACTGGCTGTGGTGTTTAATTTCTGCTGGAGGTGTGTGGGGGAAGCCCTGCATCCATCAGCAAGGGTGGCTTTGATCTCTGAGGTTTCCTAATGCTCCTGGTTTATCCAGAAAGGTGAGGTGGGCACCTCTGCCAGCCCTCCAAACTACTGTCCTCAGGTCAAAGCTGGGAATCATTTGATCTTCCTCCTAAAACTAATTCTGTCCTCAGAGCATTTGCAGCCCCTTCCCCACAGATATCCTGTGACCCAGTTCTGCATTTTTGGGAACCGGGTATCAGTGGCAAATCTCGAAAAGAATGTAAATAGGTGCTTTAACTACAATTGAATTCCTGTGCCCTGATTAGCCCTCCCTGCTCACATGTAAAGCACTAAATTTAGCTTTGTTTTCCTCAGTGGTCATTAAGGAATTGCCAGTTAAGCCACTGAACCAGCCATGCTGGCTGTGGCTCACTCTGTCTCCCAAGGTAAAATTCCTTGGAAGGGAAAGAAGCTTCCTGAACGTGAAGATGCTACAGGAGCACACACCAGCAGCCTGTTCTCATGGAGCTGAGCTGCTTCCCACAGGGAAACCTTCCAGCAAGGGGAGTAAAGAACCAGTTTTACATGAACTGGTCACTGCCAGTGCCAGAAGTCAGAGCAAGCCCTTGTTCTTTCACTGACTCAGCTGGGCAATGAGCAGGAGTTCAGCTCCTGATCCCAGAAAATCTCTTGACCTTGATGTTAGAAAAGGGCACTGAAGTTTCATTGTTCTGAAACCACTTGTTTCAAGAGCTTTCTCCAGCAGTGACCTAATATTTCAGATGTAGCAATGGTGTGAAGTCATCTGATCATCACTTTCATATGAAGGAAACCACAGCCAAAACAAAGTGCTGCTCTTTCTGTTCCTCTGCCCACTGGGATTTCCACTCCCAACCATCCTGGCTTGGCTGTGGCTTCTCCAAAGGATTCAGGACTACCTGACCCAGAGTTGCCAACCACTGGGCTTTCCTGCAATCTCTGAAGAAAAGCAAGGGCTGCTCAGCACTTCTGCAAGGAAAGAGAAAATAAAACCAAGATGTGGAGATCTGCCCACACTGCAAATCCGGGTGTTGCAAGATATGGATTTCTCCTGTACAGTGAAGAACAAAAGTTGTTCTAACATGACTGTGCTGAAGGATTGTCCCTGGCAGCCTGCATCCTTAATTAACACAGTATTCCTGTACTTCAGGGGTTGATCTAACCTTACACCTGTTTTTACATCAGCCAAGAAGTTAGTCCTGAATTATTCTAACCAGAGTCCTCCCCTCGTCATTTTGCTGCTGTATCCCTGACACCAAGGCCACCACAGTGTCAAACTCCACAGTTTGAGCTTTTTCCACCTGTCCAGAAGTAAAATAACAGAGCAAAGGGGTTGTTTGTGATGGTGTTGAAAGAGCTGTGCTTTGCCCCTAAGCCAGCCCTGCTTGGCTCTAAAGAAAAAACAAACCTGCCCTGAGGCAGAGCAGGAGGGACAGCCCTGACAGCAAAACCCCTGGACTTTGGGATTTGAAATTCATATTCAGCCTTGCTTTCTTTGGAGCAGCTTTTTACAGCTTCTCCCAGCCTGGTGAGGATCCTTTGGTGTTTCTGCTGTGCAGAGAACCTGGGGAGGGCTCCCAGAGGAGCGCTGGCTCCCAGCTTCTCACTGGAGAGGCTGGAGGTGACAACTTGTGTGACACTTTTGCTATAGGCACGTGGCACTTGGCATCCCTGCTCTGCTCAAATCTCACTGAATTCTGACTAATTCAGTGGTCAATGCAGCAATATTTGCTGTTTTGCCAAGTCAATCCCTGAGATGTCCCTGGCCAGTGTCACAGCCCAGTTCAGGGCTCACAAATGCTGGTTTCACTACTTCTCTCCAGCTCTCTGTTCCTGTTTCTCAGCAAAATCAAAACCTTGCACAAGGCAAAGAACACAGGAAAAAAGACAATGGGCTCCACCACAACTCAGGCAAGGTTTTTTTTTGGGGGGGAAGAGTCTGCCAGTGAGCCTGGAGCAGTGCATGGCTTGGAAATACAGTTTGGGAGGAATTTTGGTTTGAGAGTTTTCCACTGGAAAATGTCATAGCAAATCTAAGAATAAGAATTAACTGGCAAATGAGAGAAAAGCAGACTCTGTCCCAAAGAACAAATGTGTTGAAATCCTTGCTGTGCCTGACTAAGGCTTAGAGTAATCCTGGGTTTATTACCAATACAGGAGTGTCCAGATACCATAGGAGATCTATGCTGGGGGACCAATACCCATTCAGATTATTGCAACATTTTATATTTTTTCAATCCCTTTATGTCATGAGAATGAAACCAAGGCTCAGAGACACAGGAAGTGAGATTTCCTGCCTTGCTGGTCAGTAGGATGTGAAGGCAATTCTCCAGGTAGCCATGGAATGTTATACCTGGGAAACCTGGTTCATCCTCCAGGGAAAACTCCACAGGATTTTCCTGTCCTTCCCAAACTGGTTGTTATATTTTCTCTCCCCTGTCCAGCTGAGGAGGAGTTGTTTTAGTGGGTACCTGGTGTCCAGCCAGAGTTGTCCCACCCCACAGAGAAGACACAAGACATAAAATAGTTCTCATCTATTTCTAACCTGAACCTTCCTGGGAGCAGCTGAATGATGTATCCCAGCTTTGTTGCCCTCTGCTTTTCCCCTGTTCTGGCAGGATTTTATTTCTTTGGAGGCAATGGAGTTGTGCTTATGATGCTGTTGTTTTTCCTTCCAGCTGCAGCTGAAGTCAGTATGGCCTCAGGAAAGACCCCAACCCCAGACCTGCTGAAGGCTGAGGAGCAGCAGAGTGTGGTAGGTGCCAGGGCATCCACTGACATGTGCTGGTAAACCTCTGCCAGCACCCCAAAACCAGCCAGGGGGGGACAGAAAGATTAGTCCTATGAAGCTGTGGCCAAATCAAAACCCCCTCACTACAGAAGGCAATTGTTTTGCTCAAGAGACAACTTCAGGGCTGGCGAAATGATGAAAGTAGTTCTGAAACAGGAGCTGTTACAGGTCCTTCTTCCACATCTGGTTTGGTGCTGAAACCAGTGTGACTCAGAATTCACAAGCACAGAGTTCAGGCTTCTAAACCTTGGCTTGTTCACTTGGTGGAGGCCTTTGGATGAGCTGGAGGATGAGGAGATGGATTTGCTGGGACCTTTCTGGACAGATACATGGCTGTGTTCACCCACGAGCTTGGGCTGGGCTCTAATGTCAGGGTTTCTCTTGGGTTTAGAGTGCTGTCAATCGAGTCACCAACCTGCCCTTGCTCAATTCTGCCTTCAACCTGGTCTCGTCTGCCTACAACCACACCAAGGAGTCCCACCCCTGCCTCAGTGGTGTCTGCAGCGTGGCTGAGACCGTGGCTGCTGTGGCTGTGGGCAGCGTGGTCGGAGGGGCACAGCCCATCCTGAGCCAGCTCGAGCCACAGAGTAAGTGCAGGGCTGGGGGTCCCTTGGGACAGCAGGGGAAGGGAGGTTCATGTGCCTCTAGGGTGACCCCACCTCCTACAGCATCTTCTCCTCTAGCACAGAGCCTCCCACTCAGCAGCTCCTGGACACTGAACTGCCTGGGAATGAAACTATTTCCAGGAGAGTTTGATTTCTGGAGGTTACCGAGTAGTAACTCCCTGCTCACTCACCCCCACTGCATATTCTGACCATCCCAGGCAGGGGCTGTGTCAGCCCGGCTCATCCCAACATTTTTCAACCCTTTAAACCCAATGCCCTACCCACCAAGGGCAGGTGCTACAGTGCAGTTGGATTAAAGTCTACTGTTAGAAAGCTGGGAAGGCAAAATGGAGACTATTGGAACCTGACAAATTTTAGGATTGGTTCACTTTTTCACACGCATCCCACCCTAGAATAGGGATTTATTTTTATGGGGCTTGTTTTCACGAGTGTATCCTGAAGTGGCCATTGTAGGGTCAAAAACCCATCCCCAAATGTAAGAATAAATTGGTGCCTGTTTGTCTCCTCCAGTTGCTCTTGTGAATGAATATGCCTGTAAAGGTCTGGATCAGCTGGAGCAGAACTTGCCCTTCCTGCAGCAGCCAGCAGACAAGGTAAGGAAAGGCTTTTCCTGGGGCAAGCCATGGCTTGATGGAACTGCTGTGGGCACAGAAGAATATGGGGAAATAAATAAAGGCCAGCAGCAGGGAAAGCTAGAGAGGTGCCCTGAGCATGCAGGAGTGAATGTGTCTGTGTCAGTACAGCTGTGCTCACCTCCCTGGCCCTCCCACACACTGCAAAAGCACAACTAACCCAGGTGGGAAAGCTTTTTCAGGGAGGGAAAATGCTTTTTGGAACAACAACAAAAAAATCTTTCTCTCCCTGGTGCAGGTGATCTCAGACACCAAGCAGCTGGTGTCCACCAAAGTGACATCTGCTATGGATGCTGCCTGTGAGGCCAAGGAAGCGGTGGCTGATAAAGTCACTGAAGCTGTGGACCTCACTAAAAATGTTGTTGGGGACAGTGTCAAGCTGACCAGGTCTGTGGTCACCTCCACTGTCAACAGTGCTGTGGAGGCTGCCCAGGGTGCCAAGGAGCTGGTGACCAGCAAGGTGACAGAGGCTGTGGATGTCACCAAGCACATGGTGGAGGACAGCGTTGACAGGACCAAGATTGCTGTTGCCTCTACGATTGTCAACGCTGTGGAGGCTGCCCAGGGTGCCAAGGAGCTGGTGACCAGCAAGGTGACAGAGGCTGTGGACCTCAGTAAGCACCTTGTGGAGGACAGCGTTGACAGGACCAAGTCTGCTGTGACTTCCACCATCACTGCAGCTGTGGGGGCTGCCCAGGGGGCCAAGGACTTGGTGGCCAACAAGGTGACAGATGCTATGGACAAGGTCAGCAAAGCTGTGGATGTCACCAAGCACATGGTGGAGGACAGTGTTGACCTGACCAAGTCTGCAGTTGCTTCCACGATTGTCAGTGCTGTGGAGGCTGCTCAAGGGGCCAAGGAGATGGTGACAGACAAGGTGACCAAGGCAGTGGACCTCAGTAAACACATTGTAGAAGACAGTGTTGATCTGACCAAGTCTGCAGTTGCCTCTACAATCGTCAACGCTGTGGAGGCTGCCCAGGGTGCCAAGGAGCTGGTGACCAACAAGGTGACAGAGGCTGTGGATGTCACCAAGCACACAGTAGAGGACAGCATTGACAGGACCAAGTCTGCTGTTGCTTCCACCATCACTGCAGCTGTGGGGGCTGCCCAGGGGGCCAAGGACCTGGTGGCCAACAAGGTGACCGAAGCAGTGGACCTGACCAAAGAGGCTGTTCAAGACAGTGTTGAGAAGACCAAATCTGTGGTCACCTCTACAGTCAGTACAGCTCTGGATGCTGCCTGTGGCACCATCAGCAGCAAGATCAACACAGCCCTGGAGCAGGGCAAAGAGGCTCTCCAGAAGGGCGTGGAGATGACCAATTTAGAAGTGACCAACAGCATAAGCAAAGTCAAGGCAGTGAGCCAGGCAGTGGCTGGAGGTGTGGAATCTGTCCTGGGAATGTCAGAAGATCTGGTGGATCATTACCTCCCAATGACCGAGGAGGAACTAGGTAAGAAAATACTTACCTGGCGCTTGTAGATGCAAGTCCTTTCCCATGTGGGTAGAGAGCACCTGACACAGCAAGACTCAAGCTTCTGAAGCAGACAGGTAGCTCTGAATTTGTCACCACCAAATTGCCACATGGCATGGGACAGAGATCAAGCACTTGCTGGCTGGTCCTTGTCCATCAGCCTCAAAGTAAATAAACACATGGGTCCACGCTTCAACCTCTCCAACAAGTCTGCCTACCTGAAAACTGAGCAGGGACTAACTTGCCTTTAACACACGAGCAACTACAAACCCCCTGCTCCCGCAGCAAGATCCAACCTTCACGTTTTCCAATGGGTGATCCAACCTCTTCCACCCCTCCCAGTGCGCCCAGCTGCAGCTCTGTTCTTGTTTCCTCCAGGTAAACTGGCCACCACGGTGCAGGGCTTTGGTGTGGCCTCCGTGGAGGAGCAGAAGAGGCAGCAGAGTTACTTTGTGCGCCTGGGCTCGCTGTCGGGCAGGCTCCGGCACCGAGCCTACCAGCACTCCCTGGCCAAGCTGCAGGGCTTCAGGCACCGCATCCAGGACACCCTGGCACGGCTGCAGCTGGCAATAAAACTGGTACCAACACGCTTTGCCCTTCTTCCTACTGTTTATAGCCTTTCCTGCTATCCAGCTGGAAGCTCTTCCTCCATCCCGCACCAGCTCCGTGTCACCTTGGATCCTTCCGTGGCACGGAAGCGCTCGTGCCTCTCTGTGTGTGCTTGCAGTACAACCTTTCCTCTCCTTTTTCCTATCAGATTGAATCAGTGAAACAGGAGGTTGGCCAGAAGCTGCTGGAGGGGCAGGAGAAGCTCCATCAGCTGTGGGTGGATTGGAGCCTGACTCAGCCCAAAGGAAACCAAGTCAGGACTGCGAGCCAGCCAGAGGTATCCCCGGAGGGGCCCGGAGCAGCAGCCCCGCGGGCCCGGCCCTCCCGGGCTGTCCCTGAGCTGTTCTCTCCCAGCAGGTGGAGCCGCGCACTCTGGCCATGCTGAGGATCATCACCCAGCAGCTCCAGCCCGCCTACCACAGCCTCAAGCTCAGCATCCTCGGCCTGCCCAGCAGCATGCAGGAAGCCGTGTCTCGGGCTGCTCGACACATCTACAAGCTCCACAGCTCTTTTTCCAGGGCTGTGTCGTTCCAGGACCTCTCCAGAACCAGTCTGGCCCGCAGCCAGGACCGTGTGGCAGAGGCTCGGAGGTCCCTCGATGTCCTCTTCGAGTACGTCGCTCACAACATCCCTCTGGAGTGGATTGTGGGGCCCTTCAGGGCCATGGCTAAGGTGGCACAGGACAGCAGAAAGCACAAGAAGAGAGAGATGAGGAGTGATAGAAAATTACCCAAGTTGGAAAAGGCTCCACTATCACAGGAGGTGACAAAGGCACCTGAAGAGCCAAAGGGAACCAAGAAGCTCTCAGAAAAATGGTGTGAAGTGCTAGAGAAGCTGGAGGAGAAGGCAGGGAAAGACACAGAGGTAGCCCTGGCTGCAAAGGAGATAAAAACCAGTGCAGCAGAGGAAAACCTCTGATAAATCCCAGTTCTTCTGGCCAAGGCTAGTTGGCTAGAACAGCACTGGATATTCTAATTGTGTGCCCACTTGTGTCATGAGTGCCTCTGCTCTCTGAATTTAGAGTCAGATGTAGTTGTATAACCTGATAACCAAGGTGGGGAGATTCTGAATCTTAATTTACTGTTTTTAATTCCAACTGCTGTGCTGAAAGGGGAGATGGGAGCTGCACTGCAGCTTTTGAACTCAGCCCAGCTGTAGCTATGAGTAGCTAAATCTTGCTGAGACAAGTTGTGGGAGAGAAGTGATCTCAACTTATTTTTAATGGTGAATTTGTTTTTAGTTTACCCAAGCTGTGGAACTCTTGAGAAGATGCTATGCTTGACCTTTGGTACCATCTCCCACCTTCTCCACATTTAAAAATACAAGTTCCAGACACAACTTCCTTTGTGCCTGTTGTGCTTCCGGGGAGGCTCGGCCCTGCAGCACATCTGGCACAGCTGGGGGCAAGAAGCTGCTTCTCAAGAGATTTCTCTTCATGGATCAGCCAAACACTTTTTCCTTCCTGGAGAAGCACTCAGCAGTATGGAGTTTTCTTTAATCATCTTTCCTAGTTCTGTGGATGACTTCAAGGATTATTTGCGAGTAACTCCATGTGTGAAAGACTTCACAGCCATTAAGTGAGGCAGCTTTTCCCAGGAGTTACTCTGTCATGGGATTAGGATATCCTGTTATTAAAATAGGGGGGATTTTAATCCAGATGCTGGTTCTTTTCCAGAAAAACACTACTTTGTAATAATTTCTAATGTAACTTATTTTGGTAACTTCCTGGCGTTGTCCCTGTGCCAGGGCTGGTGAGCAGACACTGGAATAAAGTGTGACCTGTGTTCAAAACCATGTGGGTTTGTGTGTACCTAAAGCTGCAGGCTTGTGTTCTCCTTTACCTGAGCTGTGATGAAGCCTTGCCTTTACCAAATCTTGTCCCTTCCTAGCTCGTCTGTTCCCTGCTCATGCTGGAGGGGAAAAAACAAAGTTCCTTTAGCAGGTCCCATGGTTTCTTAACCAGAAAAATGCCTTAATAATCTTGTTTCCCTGACTTCTGCCTATACTCCTTTAGCTCAGGTGCATCTGTCCATGCCCCACTCTTCCTCTGCCACCCTGGATCCTCGGCTTCCCTCCGCAGGGAAGGGTCGGTCCCTGCCTGTCCCCAGCGCTCTGTCCCCGCCGGGGCCGGGCTGGGGAAGGGGGCGGGTGTCTCAGCCGGGACAGGGCCCTCCTGCCGCGGTTCCCCAGCCCGGGCTGTGCCCTCCCGGTGCCCGGGTTCCTGCTCCGCCCCGCTCCGCCCCGCCCGTGCTCATCGGCCCGCGCCGCTTCCGCCAGTCCCGGGCACCGGCCGCAGGTAGGCTGCTCCCTTCCCTTCCCAGCTGAGCCTTTTCCATCCCGCCTGCTCCCTTCCCTTCCCAGCTGAGCCTTTTCCATCCCGCCTGCTCCCTTCCCTTCCCAGCTCAGCCCTTTCCATCCCGATTCATCCCTTCCCTTCCCGGCCCATCCCGGGCTCGCCCCGAGCGCTGCTGGCCCGACCCGCGCCCCAACTTCCTCCGTGCCACCCCCGTGCCCGTCCGGGGACCGAGGGCAATTGGGCAATCGCAGGCTTTTCGTGAGACAGGAAAGCAAAAGTGGAATTGGAAACTTTCCCCGGTTGAGAGTTATTTCGGGGCCTTTGCTGGGGTTGTCTTTAAATAGGGAAAGTTTCTGCGGCAGGCTCAGGCGGCGCCTGGAGCAGTGCCCCACCGAAAACCCGCTCAGACACTCCTGTGGTTTAATTCAAATCCCATCAGAGGCCCGGGGTGAGTGCAGGGGCTCAGGCATCGCCTGTGGATGGGGATATAAAGTCTCCCAATGAAAGCAGGACGTGGAGCTGCTGGGACAGAGTCCAGAGGAGGCCACGGAGCTGCTCCAAGAGCCGGAGCCCCTCTGCTCTGGAGCCGGGCTGGGAGAGCTGGGGGTGCTCACCTGGAGAGGAGAAGGATCCAGAGAGAGCCCAGAGCCCTTTCCAGTGCCTAAAGGGGCTCCAGGTGAGCTGGGGAGGGATTTTGGACAAGGGACAGAGGGACAGGACAGAGGGAGTGGTGTCCTCCTGCTAGAGAGCAGGGTTAGGTGGGATAATGGGAAGGAATTCTTCCCTGTGAATCTTCCCTGATAACACAGGTTATCGGCTGGGTTTCCTTTACATCTGTTTTATTCTCCAACGTCATCACAAGCAGCCTGCGAGACTCCTAGAACCAGCTGCAGGAGGATACACTTGGATTTACCTAAATATAGCATTATTTAATCAATTATCTTAAATCAGTTGTAATTGATGTGAAATGAACACAAAGAATGTGCTTTTTTGCTTAATGACAGAGTTGGAATAATGCACAGAGCACTGGCACAGCTGCGAGCATGGAACAGATGCAGAAATATTTGGGAGGTGTGAGAGGGAGCCTGGCAGCTCCAGGAGCATCCCCCAGTGCCCACATCACCCCTCTGAAGGCTGTCCTCTGTTCTCCTCACAGATACAGAAATATTGGGAGGTGTGAGAGGGAGCCTGGCAGCTCCAGGAGCATCCCCCAGTGCCCACATCACCCCTCTGAAGGCTGTCCTCTGTTCTCCTCACAGATACAGAAATATTGGGAGGTGTGAGAGGGAGCCTGGCAGCTCCAGGAGCATCCCCCAGTGCCCACATCACCCCTCTGAAGGCTGTCCTCTGTTCTCCTCACAGACTCCAGCACTGAGAGGCCGCAGTTCCGAGCAGAGTCCCCGGGCACTGGAGGTTTGCGTGGTACGAGGAGTGCCACCGGGGCACCCCGAGCCCCACAGACAAGACAACCCTTTGCCATAAGATGCTTTTCCCATCCCTGCTGCAGTCCATAGTGTGGGCCAGCAGCTGATGAGATGGCACAGAGCGCTGAGCTGCAGCCCAGCTTCGAGGACGTGTTCAAAATTCTGTCCCAAGCACCACCAGAGAAACTGCTGAGCCTCAAACTCAAACTGAAGCACTTGGTACCTGGGCCCTGCAGCAAGTTACTGCAAGCTATGGTCCTGCTTACTCTGGGGCAAGAAACGGATGCAAGGATTTGTCTGGATGCCTTGAGGGACAACCAGGCAGCCCAGTACGTCCACCAGATCAAACTGGGAGCTGCAGGAGTGCAGGAAGACGGGGAGGATTTGCAGCCTCCCCAGCTGGATGCAGGTGCCGTGGCACTGCTGGCACAGGTGTACACGGTGCTGGCACAGGAAAAGCTGTGCAGTCCTGAGGCCAGGGACAAAGCCTGTCATGCCAGCAAGGACACTCAGCGGGGGACACTCAACATCCCACCCAAGGAACAGGACAAACAGGGCTCTGCAGCCAGTGGGGGCTCAGGGGACAGGTTTGGGACGCTGAGATCCCATGAGGACGCAGGATTGCCCCACATGGCGAGGAGTTCACCAGTGGAGATCAGAGGCAACTCAGACCTTTCGGGCCCACGGACCCTGTGCTCTGTGGGGAGCTCCTCCCTGTCCAGCTGTTTGGAGATCAGTGCATCACCAACAGTTGCTTTTCACACCCAGCCTTCTGTCCCCGAGTGTGTCATCTGGCCCAGCCGCGCTGGACACCCCAACGGGGACACGCAGAGCCACGGCCCACAGGAATCCAGCTGGGCCAGCACACCCTGCTCTCCCCCTGGGCAGGACACAGCTGCCCAAGGGCCCCAGGCAGAGAAGGTTCTGCAGGTCAGTCCCTGTCACCCCAGCCCTCTCCCTGTTCCCGAGACACCGCTGGCCTCGGAGCCTGCCCAAAGCAGTGACGTATCCAGCACGGTGACAGAGCCTCACACAGCAAGAGAAAAGCAGGATGAAAAGCAGGATGAAATGCAATCATCTGATGTCCCTGATTCAAGGGCTGTAGTGGATACTGCTCCTGCCCTTGTGTCCGGGCAGGATTCCAACATTCCAGCAGGCATTCCCTCTAACTCTGCACCTGCTTCTACTTCAACCTGTTCCCTTCCTCCTCCTAATTCCTTCTCAACTCTTCCTCCTCTTCAAGAATCTCCCTCCAGAGTATCATATCCCCCTCCCCTGCATTCGTCCCCCTCTCCAGCCAGGCCTCCTGCTCCCCCAGCCATGGATCCATCAGAGCCAGATGGTGCCAAGTTCTTCACGTTTGTTGTCCTGCATGCCAGTGAAGATGAGATTGTGGCCCACCAGGTCAAGAACCTGCTGGAGGGCATGGGGGTGTCCAACGGTGCCACGCTCAGTGAGGATTTCTTCATCGCCGGGCGCAGCCACATGATTTGCTTCCAGGAGGCCATGGAAAACTCTGCCTTCATGATCCTCCTGCTGACCAAGAACTTCCCCTGCAACCTGTGCCTGTACCAGACAGACACTGCTCTGATGCAGTCCATCCTGGACCCCTCCAAGCAAGACTCAGTCATCCCATTTCTACCCAAGGCAAACGCCTTGGAGCGCAGCCAGATCCCCAGGATGCTCAGTGTGCTCATCACCCTGGATGAGAGCTCTCCTCTCTTCTCCAATAATGTGCACAAGACTTTTAACCCCAAGAAAATCCAGAAGAAGAAAGCCCTGTGGGACCAGATGCAGAGAAGGAAGTCCCAGGAGCGTTGGGAACAGCACCAAGCCCAGCAGAACTTGGCTGCCCTGAGCCTGGGCTGCCCTCCCTGGGTGCCTCCAGCATCGCCGTGGCCACCAGGGCCACCAGCCCAACACTGGTGTCCCCCTGCCCCGATGGATGCCCCTCCTGCTCAGATGGGTCCTCCCCCTTCCCAAGCACAGCTGCCCCCAGGTCACTACAACATCACAGCAGGCCAGGGAGGGATGCCACCCCTCATCATCCAACACGCCCGCATGGTTCAGATCGGGAACCACAACGTGATGCAGGTGGAAACTGCCCCAGCTGAGCCAGGGCACAGCCAGGAGCAAAGCAGGCACAACATCTGAGCCAGGACAGCCAAAATTCATTTCAAATCCTGGATTAGAGTGAT